TCCCACTTTCTAAGCCAGCCTGACTCTGCCAGGCACATGGGTCTTCCCCAAGCCAAGGGCATGGATGTGCTCTTCAGGGCAGGCAGTATCAATGCTTTTGGCTGGTGATCTGTCTCAATTTTTTCGCTGGGCCTCCCTCACCAGAGCACACATGACACCCATGGCAGGATGTGATTTACTTTTGGATGTGATATCCAAGTGGAGATGATATGAGTGTGCAGAATGAAAAAAGCACACACCCCGGAAAAAAAAACCCAACAATGCAAAGGTTATTTTTAGTAACACAGATGTTGTTATTCTTCAGGGAGGGTGGCTAGAGAGAAAATTCACAAAATGAAGCTTTTTCTTTCCCAGTTCTTCTCTTCAAATGCACCAAATGCAAATGCAAATGAAACAATAAATAAGAAAGAGCGACTGCCGATTCTTGTATGGAATGTTTTTTTAAAAAAAACCAGGCATGTCAGATGGGTTTGTCCTCACGTCTCCTTAACTACAGCATATATGCGCCCTGGTAACTTGTTCTTTAATGCCATGTCTCCGAGTGTTGGCTTCGTCTCATCCGCAACGCACAGCTGAGGCAGCTAAAAGGGCTTGTTAGCTTCTAAAGTAGTGTTCTCCGTCTTCTCTTGACATAATTTTGGCCAGGGATATGACCTGGCAGGCTTCCCCAGCAGTGTGGTTGCTGATGAATTTAAGGGGCTGGGATCTTCTCATCTTCCACTGGCTAGTAGAGGCTGCTGTAGATACATCTCCGCCTCTGGTTGCTGGCCATTGCCCTCTATGGCCAGATTGGCTCAGATTGCAGGGGAAACTGGACCCTTGGCTTCCACAATGGCATCTGTCACTATAAAGTCAAATGGATATTTTCAAAAGGGTTATGAGATCTTATTTGGATCCTTACCAGATACAGGTTTCACACTTTTTTTGAAGGAGCATTGGACCTACTGTGTTGCTCCCAAAATAAGACCGGGTCTTTGCTCCAAAAGACGCATTATGGCTTATTTTCCGGTTAAGTCTTATTTGGGGGGAAATACAGTACTAAACGTCCCCGCCCCCCCATCTGCTGATGATCTTAACTGGGGCTTATTTTGGGGGTAGGTTTTATATTATGAGCATCCTGAAAAATCATGCTAGGCCTTATTTTCCGGTTGGGTCTTATTTTCGGGGAAACAGGGTATTTTTTTTTTTAAATGCTGTTCCTTAAGTTGTCCCATAGTAAAACAGTAAGGTACAATTTGGCTTCTGAACAAGGAAATCGGAGTCTCGGAACCAAGCTTGCTTGCTTGCTTGCTTGCTTGCTTGCTTGCTTCCTTCCTTCCTTCCTTCCTTCCTTCCTTCCTTCCTTCCTTCCTTCCTCCCTCCCTCCCTCCCTCCCTCCCTCCCTCCCCACTTCTCTCTTTTTCTCTCTCCTTTCCCTCTATCCAACATAATTTCTGGCTCTAACAATGGAGTCTGTCTCACTGTCATGTTCTTGTCATTAAGACACATCCGCTCGGCTCTCAGAAGGGAAAGAACAGCCCTATCCTCTGGCAATGGGTGTACAAGGATTAGAACTAATGGGAGCAAGGAGCACCAGAATAAACAGGAGCAATTCTAAATTTGTGAGCAGGCTGGTAAGCTGGTAAGCAAGGCAAGCACATCATTAGTCAAGAGGGCCATACAAGGTGACTAGAAGGCAAGTGTGCAAAGACATTGGGTTGAGAACCAGCTGACCTTCAGCAATGATGTCTAGGTCTTCATAGTTCAAAAATCTTCTGTGGGCTAGGATTAGAGAGAAACAAGCAGATTAAGGAAGAAAACAGACAACAGACTCAGCAAATAGCTCCACTGTCCTTTCTTACTCAAAAATCAGTAACATTTGATCACTATTGGAATACCAGCCAGTCAGGTATGTCAATTCATTAACTAACAATAGGCTGCCCCAATCCGTATGGACTCTGAGTGGCAAACAACGATTACAATATACAATGAATTAAAATAGTGAGCAATTAATAACCAGCTAATTATGATGGCTGCCTAAACATGATCAGTGGCCAAAAGCCTGCCAGAACAATCCCAATTTATACTGCAAGGATAGTTGGGATTTTCCGGTAATTCTGGCATTAAATAGCCCATAAAGTGGGGCGAATTGGTTGGTAACAAACTCTTGTTTATTAACTCTTCCATTTCATTTTTTTTAATAATCTGCCTTAACTGTGCACACCCTGCAAAAACTATTGACGTTCAAGAATATATGCTCATGATAGTCACATGCTCAGAAATGCTCTTAAGAATGTGATGAGGAACCTTTTGGGCTCGGTGTCTCAAATGCCTAATTTGACTCTGCTGGCAGGACACAGACACACACCCAAACAAAAAACAAACAATTCTTTACATGTTTATTTATTTATTTATTTATTTAAAAATACAGTCCAATCATGTGCATGATCCCCAGAATCTATCATGCGCCATTTACCTTCAGGCAGTGTTCTCTTTCTATTGAGAGGCTCCTGTGGCCTACCCATGTACTTGCATGAGGCCTTCATTCTTGAAGTGGCTTTAGAGAATGGTCCTCTGTGGTATCTGGAGCTTCTGAAAACTACTGGATCCATTTTTTTGCGATTTTTTGGAGGCTCCAGAGATCACGTGAGAGCACAGCCCCTCTAAAGCGGCCATGAAGAGCATCATCCATTCTTGCACATCATTGGAACCACCAAAAGTCCCACCAGAATTTAAAGCACAAGGAAGGTTGGGCCCGCCTATATTTCTCCAATTAGAAGTCCCATAAATGGCTTGGTTGATAACCAATTCTTCTATATTACTTCTACTTCTTTAAATAACACATTTAAATGTGTTAAATGTGTTATCTTTATCGGCTGTGAAATGGATGTTATGGAAGCCATGTAAGAGCACACCCCATTCCTTCGTGGCCTTCGCAAAAGTCCCACAAGAACATGCTTTTGAGAACAGTTGTTGTTGGGTGAACTCTGTATGCTGGTGAACACAGGCGGATCACCCAAAAACATCATGGCATCTGATTATAGAGATTACAGAATATTAGAGTTGGAAGGGATTTTGTAGGTCATCTAGTCCAACCCTCCACTCAAGCTCTCTTTTTTTTCCCGATTAACATTTTTATTGAGTTTTAAATAAAATAAAGATACAAAATACAAAAATAAATAGGAGAATGAGGGAAGGAAGAAGGGGAAGAGAAGTGAAGAAGAGTAGAAAAGAAACAAAAAGAACCATTGACTTCCGACCAGTGATGAAATCCAAATTTTTTTTACTACGGGTTCTGTGGGCATGGCTTTGTGGGTGTGGTGTGGCTTTGTGGGCATGGTGTGGTGGGCGTGGCAGGAGAAGGATACTGCAAAATCTCCATTCCCACCCCACTCCATGGGAAGGATATTGCAAAATCTCCATTCCCACCCTACTCTGGGGCCAGCCAGAGGTGGTATTTGCCTGTTCTCTGAACTACTCAAAAGTTCCACTAATGGTTCTCCGAACTGCTCAAAATTTCCGCTACCGGTTCTCCAGAAAATCCAGAATCTGCTGGATTTCACCCCTGCTTCCAACTCTCTCTGCTACAGTAAAATAAGGCATTAAGATCAAATCACAACTTTGTGTTTTTTCATAATAATATAAACAAGCCATTTCTATAAAGATTTACCTATCTAATCAGTAAATCTCTTTACTCATGGCATATCTCTTGACATGTGTATCATAGGTTCATCATCATGGATCTAAGACAAACTTCCCCTCTCTTGAATCACTATATATTTGGCAGCTATTTCTCCCAGAATGCTAGTTGGGAATCTGGCATCTGGAGGAGACCAACTTAGAGGAAGATTTTGTAACATTCACAGATATTTGCAGGGAAGTAAAGGAGGCAAATGAAGACACGTATAAGGTACTGACACCACTCAACATGATTTACGATGTGAATTATGTATGTACTAATATGAGACATCATGGCATAATTGCTGCATTTGCAGAATGACACCATGACACAAGTGTTGTCATTTTGACAGCAGAGTATAGTATATACAATTTTTTTCAGTAAAGAAATTTAAAATGGGGGGGTAGGGTGTGTGTCATCAAATGCAAATCGAAAAAAGTCAACAATGATTAATAAAGAATCCAAGTTAAACTACAACAGAAATGTTCTTATAGGTTAGTATAAATATGTTGTTGTCTTCAGTGTTGCCAAATGTAATATCCAGTAATATCTTTATTATAACTTACAAAGCAACATTTGATTGACGTTTGCATAATAAATCCCTGAAAAACTCTGTAATTTTAAAAATGATACCGTACAGAAAAGCACTTTTCAACGGCTTGTGTGAAATTGTCAGCGCATCTTCAATCAGAGGATACATTCTGGGGAAAATGAGCAGATATTTTGTGCATTCTTGCAAATCTCACCTCCAGGAACCTTTTGTCAATAAAGATTTCTAATAAAGGAAGCACTGAATTTAAACATTTGGGAGCTAGTGCGTTTGTTTGTTAGTTGTGTTTCAATATTTCACAATTTTTCTTCATTCCACTCTGAAGCAAATATATATAATCTACTACTACTCTAATAATTACCTTTTTTCCATTATCACTGTTTTCCTGTTTATCAACTCAGTGAGCAACAATGCTATTAAAAAGCTTCCAGAATTCTAATTCATTTTCAGTATCACCTTCAAAATTAACACCATCATCCTGTTTTTACATCTGTTGACATCAATAGGATTGTTTCTTTGGATCAACAACATCTGAATTAATCCTTTTTGATAAACGGCAAGGAATATTTTAAGTAATACAGATATTCCTCAACTTACAACCATTCGTTTAGAACCATTCAAAGTTACAACAGCCCCAGGGGTGGGTTCTAAATTTTTTTACCGGTTCTCTGGGTGTGGCTTATTTTGTGGGCGTGGCTTGATGATCATGTGACAATTATTTAGGATTTAGCAGAGGTACTGGTCTAGCAGGCTTTTAACTGCTTGCAGAGCTGTACCAATCTACCCATTTATTTTTGCAGGCACTGGTCTACCCATTTATTTTTGCAGGCACTGATCTACTCATGTATTTTTGAAGGCACTGATCTAATGTATTTTGCAGGCACTGATCTACTCATGTATTTTTGCAGGCACTGATCTACCCATTTATTTTTGCAGGCACCGTCATTTGTTTTCTTTTAACACTGATCAGCTGTAGGGCGGCCCTTTGAAGCCCCACGGCAAGAGTTTAAACAGCTTTTTTCCCTCTAGCCATCAGCTGGGACTCAGGAGGAAAGTGAAGAAATTTTGAAATTTTGAAATGAAGAAATTTTGATGGTCATTTATGATTAGAAATTTGGACACAATATGCAAATACCCAGCCAGGGGTGAAGTCCAGCAGGTTCTGACAGGTTCTGGAGAACCGGTAGCGGAAATTTTGAGTAGTTCAGAGAACCGGCAAATGCCACCTCTGGCTGGCCCCAGAGTGGGGTGGGAATGGAGATTTTGCAATATCCTTCCCCCAGGAGTGGGGAGGGAATGGGGATTTTGCAGTATCCCTCCCCTGCCACGCCCACCAAGCCACGCCCACCAAGCCACGCCCATAGAACCGGTAGTAAAAACAATTGGATTTCACCACTGGACCCAGCCCTCTGGAGAAAGCTGGGAAAAGTGGAAAGAAAAAGAAGAGAATGAGCAGCACCAAAGTGGATGGACTCGGTTACAGTGGTCAGGAGTGCATTGTTGCAAGACCTGCAACACCAGGCTATGGATGTAATACGTGATCACGGAGAAGAATCTGTGTAATCATTAGGAGTCAAAAACAATCTGACAGCACATAATCAATCAATTATATTTAGCAAATTAATGAGCTTCTTGAATTCTCCAAAGTGTTGCCTGAATACAGTCTCAGCTCTCATTTCTGGCACACACTTCCCCACCCAATCAACATATTTCAATGCAACCTCAAAATACATGTTTTTCTCCTCCTCAGTGATGTTATTTTCAACATTTGCAAAAGAAAAAAAAAAAAGGAAGAAACCCCACAGATTTGACTGAGCAATCCAATTGCTTCAGTTTTCAGATGATCACATTTTCTCAAGGGGAAGACACTCCAATTAACTCGAGAGGCAAATAATACTTTCTTTGTCTGAGTGCTTAACTCTGTCTGAATCCAAGTATTCAGTCAATCGCTGAACCAGCAATCATTTGAAAGAAGAGCTTCTGTAAATCCAAGCAACATGTCCCTTTTTTTTATGTAAAAGCCATAACAACTGTACACATCTAAACATTCCTTTATGCCTCAACCAACAAATCCAGCTAGATTAAAGCAACGAAGAAACAACATGTTTTGATCAAGATTTCTGAGAGAGAAGCTTGAATACCCCAGGACGTGCCTTTCATAACAGATACCCCATCATATGGCTGAGCAATTAGCTTGTAAAAATGTAAGCGGAAGCTCATCAGCGTTAAGAAACATTCAGATGTCAGAACAGTTGGTGAATGCTCTAACCTACCCACAGATATTTCATGTTTCATGTTTGCCAGGCATCAAAAAGCAACTGTTAACTTTCAGTGCCTTTGCTTGTGCTGATCACAGCACGTGGCAACACTCAGCTGACTTTGTCTAGGCCACACTTCATAGAATCAGCTTCAAAAATTTTAGCAAGGGTTTCTCTGCCTGGTTCCTGGGTGGGCGTGGCCATGGTGGGCGTGTCCTAGTCAGCCTCCTGCACCACGGCAGGGCGGTGTTTTTGCCCTCCCCTGGCTCTGGAAGCTTTCCTTGAGCCTCCGGGCAGGCGAAAACAGGCTCCCCAGGCTCCAGAGGCCCTCTAAAGGCCCGTTTCCGGCCTTCCCAAACTTCTGGTAGGCCCGTTTTTTGCCCTCACCAAGCCTCCGCACGCACCCTGCACATACCTGCATCCATAACGGGGCACATAGGACTCCTGGGAGGGGAGGGGAGGGGAGGGGAGGGGAGGAGCGGGCAGGGCCAGCCAAGAGTGGAATTTGAGGGTTCTCCAAACTGCACAGAATCTTAGCTAGAGGTTCTCCCGAACCCCTGTGAACCCTCAGCAGCCCACCTCTGGATCAGGCATGGTTAATAGTTAGATCAGAAACTACCTGGAAAGATTAGAGCTGTAGGATAGACTGGGTATTTAAAAAAAAAAAAACACAGCAGCCAAAGACAACAATAATAAACCACTTCTATAGCACTATCCTGGATACTTGGATGCAATCACCCAGCATCCAGTGTAACTCCATGGAGACATCACATTCACCTTCTTCCTTCAGTCAGCAAATCGACCCTAAGTACTTTCATCAGTGCTCTCCACAAGATGGGGTGTGTGTGTTTGTTTTTAGTATCCTTTGCATCAGAGGTGGTATTCAGCAGGTTCTGACCAGTTCTGGAGAACCGGTAGCGGAACTTTTGAGTAGTTTGGAGAACCGGTAAATATCACCTCTGACTGGCCCCACCCCATCTATTCTCTGCCTCCCGAGTCCCAGCTGATCGGGAGGAAATGGGGATTTTGCAGTAACCTTCCCCTGGAGTGGGAAGGGAATGGAGATTTTACAGTATCCTTCCCCTGCCATACCCACCAAGCCACACCCACCAAGCCATGCCACGCCCACCAAGCCACATCCACAGAACCAGTAGTAAAAAAATTTGAAACCCACCACTACCACCACTGCTTTGCATGATTAACTAAACTATGCATTGTTTCGTTTTGGATTTTAGAACTAGCCCACTTTGCTTCTGGCAGAGATACCTGCTGCAATCTCTTGTATTTTTCAGAATATTTTCTCACAGAATCATAGAAATAAGCCCACTTGCCCTTTTTAATTTCCTGATTATTTATGCGCTCAGTCATCCCTGAAAGACAGTTGAATATAACAATTAGAAATGTAATTATTTCAGCAATTGAACAGTATCTGTTGCTACTTTATAGAATCAAACTTTTTTTTAAAAAAAAAAATAGTTTCTCTGCTCGTTGTGATTTTTGCTGCTTTACAAAATTATGTGTGAGGTTTTGGTGGGCTTGAGATGCTGCCTGCTTGAAAAATTCTTTTTTTATGCTACATTCTTCTTAACAGTATGCCCTTTACATAATTTGTCACAAAGACTTTTCTTGCAATTTAAACATGCTATCTGTATCAAATGAACACTCCAGGAATAAAAAAAAAATCTTCATGTACGTTCAGATATTGAAGATGCTGGATACGATGAGAAATAAAGCTACCCGGATTTATTGTCGCCTAAATTGGGTTGCGTGTTTACAGCACCAACCATTCCGTGGCTTGGTAGCTTTCCAAAGCAGTGGTAGGTATGCTAGTAACAAATGATGAGACCGACACAGTGTTTTCTTCATCCGTTTAAGGTGCAGCTGCTTTCAAATAGCCTTGGATGGGAGTTGCTGAGTTAGAGCCATTTCCATCGGAGAAAATTAGGACGGATGTTTGCTTTGAAGTCATGGTAACGATAATGGGGTTGGTGAAGTCGAGATTGGCGCTTAGCAATTAGAGATGTGGAACAACAGAAAGCAAAAGCTCTGTCTTTGCAATCTACCAATCCAATTCAAGGTTGCAATGCTGAGGAGAAAGAACCAGGTTAAAAGTCCAACAGACCTGACGGAGAGTAATTTCTAGGCCTAATCAAAATGGCTTGGGTGAGATTTCTTCATCTCCACTCATGTCTCACTGATTGTTGCTTCTCCCTCCCCTCTTTTCTTTCTATGCCCTTCCTGCTCCAAAATACAATGTCAGAGAAGATCAGGGAAATAGGCCACAATGGAGGAAACATCCTACCTCTAGACTTCATGGTCCCATTATAGGATAAGGAAGTAGGCCACTGCAACATATGCTCCATCCTGCTCTCATTGAGAGTTGAAAGAAAAAGAAACTCTGTAGTTTCTTCCCCAAACCCCCAAAACTTTAACCTTAAACTGTCTACTGTTGACCTCACCCCATTCCTAAGAGGTCTGTAAGGGGCATGCATAAGTGGACCAGAGGGCCTACCGTCCCTGTCCTAATATTCCTTTTTACTTACTCTTTTCATGTATTCAAATTATGTTTATACTTTTACCTGTTACCTTATATATGCTTGACAAATAAACTTATGATTATGATTATGACTCAAGGGCAGCTGTGATGGGAATTGATCTGAGGGTGACACCGATGGCTGGAGACCATCCTTTGATTTATACCTTTGAAGAATCGGAAGAAAAACTACATTTGGCAAAGATATCTTACCACTAGTCCCTTGGGTCTTCAGCTTTCTCCTGCAGCTGGATCCTGAATCATCCTGGGGTGTTCAGCTTTGTGGGTGTGGAATGTTCCCTTCCTTCTCGTTTTTGCAACAGACAAGCCAGGAAGGGGGAAGGCATGGCCCGTTGGCTGGCCATGGGTCTCTGCATTCTGGACAAGAGCGGCATTGAAGCCTGAATGGAACAATGCGTGGGTGGGAAGGGACATAAATTGAGATGCAGATACAGAGCTCTTTGGTGCTTCTAGGCTACAAAAGATTTGGCAGATTCTTGCCCAAATACATCAGGGTGGCATTTTTCTTCTGTTTTGACAGAAGACTCCAGAGAGATAAAGCAGAGGCACAACCCAGAGCCTGGTAAGGAAAGATCTACAGCCTTTGAGACTTGGTTCTTTCTGAAGAAGGAGGGGTGGGGAGGTGGAACAATCTATAGACTAGGACTGCTGCTCTTTGTTTCCATCCTAAGAAAGGGGGTTCCGCTGAATGCGGCCCTTTAGCCAAGCTCTGAGCAATGCTGAGCCAAGTGGAACTGCTGATGCTGCGCCCCATGACTTACGCATAATTCTCCTGTTAACACATCTCAAAATAGCTTTTTATTTTTTGCTGCGCTTCTCAACAGATCGACTCTGTGGATTCACGTTCGGTGAACTTGGACAAGAGACACTTATTGTCTTCCTTCCAGTTAGCAGGAAGTGGGGTACCCAGATTTTCAATCATGCACTCAGGCACAGATTCACACACTCACAGTGAGCATGAAATGTCTGCATATGGCCATTAGTATGAGGTCTGGCACTGCATTTTTTTCCCAAGCCAGGGCGATAATGAAAAAGTAGTCCCGCTTGTGCTTAAATGCTCCTCTGTAAAAGGCGGGTCTGCCAGCTACTGTACATACTGTACTCAGAAGAAACCTGATCCTAGCAGGATCATGCATGATCATGCATGGTGAAATAATTCTATTCCCATTCAGAGCAGCAGATCATTCATTTGTTCCTCACCCAAGAAGTGGTTGCCCTGAACTGGAATAGATTATCTCCATGTCTCCGAGGGAAAGGCCCCAGCAGTAATGCAAAAGAATGCAGGGAACCGGTGCCTTGCCGTCCTCGGACAATGGACTAACAGAATAGCAAAGTTGGAAGGAACCTTGGAGGCCTTCCAGTCCAACCCACTACTCAAGCTGGAAATCCAAAACCATTTCAGACAAATAGTTGTCCAATCTCTTCTTTAAAAACCTCCAGTGTGGGAGCATCCACAAATTCTCAAGGCAAGTTGTTCCACTAATTAATTGCTCTAACTGTGCAATTGTGAGGTCCTTACGTTTATTTTTTTTAAATTTGATTTATATGCCGCCCTTCTCCGGAGACTCAGGGCGGCTTACAGTGCGTTAAGCAATAGCCTTCATACTTTTGTATATTTTTACAAAGTCAGCTTATTGCCCCCACAAACTGGGTCCTCAATTTACCTACCTTAGAAAGGATGGAAGGCTGAGTCAACCTTGAGCCTGGCAAGATTCGAACTCACTAATTGCAGACAGCTAGAGTTAAATTACAATGCATTAGTCTGCTGAGCTATCCAGGCTCCTTATGCTCTCTGAGCTTGCTTGTTTTCTTGCAGAGGTTTCATTACCCAAACCAGGTAACATCATCAGTGCTGATAATGTTACCTAGTTTGGATAATGAAACCTCTGCAAGAAAACAAGCAAGCTCAGAGAGCACCCAGGACCCCTCATCTCAACCCTACAAATATTCTCCTTTATTAGTGTCAGGAAATTTCTCCTTAATTAGACATTTCTCCTGGAATAACTAAGTACGGTTAAAACAAACCTTATTCCAATTTCAGACCCCCGAGAAAGGGAGGTTCCTTCTTCATGCTTAGAGCACCTTATTTGATTTGACAACGTCCATGCCACAGTTCCTCCAAAGCCTTCGGGAGAGCTTACGTGGTTATGTGATCCCCTTCAAATACTTTTGCTGACCACAAAACTGGAGGATCAGGAACCAAAACCACTGCCCAAACTACCGCTCCCTCTTGGAGTGAGAGAAATCTCCTTGTGCAAAAGAAAAATAAATTGCTTGTTTTCCACCCTACCCTCAAATTGATGTCTTTACCTCCCATTGTGTATTCCTGGTTGTAGGCAGAAGAAGATTCCCACAGCCATTGAGGAGGAGCTGGACAGGCCTCCAGACATCCTTCGCCTTCTGAAGGAGCCGGAAGCCATTTCCCTTTGAAATATGAGTTTCACAGTGGTTTCAAATACAGCAGAGCCAGACATTGTTCTCACCCCCAGAGAGGTGAGAAGCAAGGGACAGATGGCGGAAATCTTTCAGCTGGGAACCAAGCAGTAGGCAGCCACTGACCGCAAAGGGCAGAACGAGACCTACTCAGGATTAAAACGTGAGGACCAACATATAGAGACAGCAGCTGGTTCTTAGATAGAAAATGCCTTTGTATATATGGCTCCCTCATTCTCTGTAATAAACTTATTTATTTAACCTATTTGTGGCTGCTTGGAAAAATGGAAGAAGGAGAGAGTTTAATTGAAATGATATGAAACCTTGAGAACAGTGTCCTTTTAGCTAGGGCCAGATGAAGGCCAACTGATGGCCTAAGTGTAGCCCAACACCAATTGAGGCCCTCAGCCTTTCAACTGCTTAACTGCCAAGACATTAAGACACAAAAAGCACTAAAAACTAAAGTTGAATGTGACAGTGAAATAGTTAAGGGCTTGATAGGTAGGGGAGAAAACTCTGCAGAATCCCTTCCTTCCCTTGATGTCCTAAGCGTGTGTTTATTTTGTGTAATGCTCAGTCCAGGGCTGCTTTTAGCTTGCTTTCGGAACCTAGCCACCGTAATCTGTTAACCATGGTTTATGGTATAGGCAGCCTACCTCTATTACCTTGTGGATAGTATTCTTAAGGAAGAGAGAGAAGAGTCACAGTGCGTCTAATCTGGAGGGATGAAATCAGTGGTGAAATGTAAAATTTGTTTCTACCGGTTCTGTGGACGGGGAGGGGGGGGGAATATGACTGAGTGGGGTGGCCAACTTTTTTTTTTTCTTTTAAAAGCATTTTTTCTACAACCTCTTCAGCTGAAGAGGTTGTTAAAAAATGCTTTTAAAGCCTCTGATGATCCCAGCTGACTTGCCTGATCGGCAGAGGCTTTCTTTTTTTAAAAAAAAAAAAGCCTCTGATGATCCAGCTGAGCCGCACGATCATCAGAGGCTTTCTTTTTAACTTTTAAAAGCATTTTTTCAGCCAAAGAGGTTGTAGAAAAAATGCTTTTAAAAATAATTTTAAAAAGCCTCTGATGATTGCGTGGCTCAGCTGGGCAATTAGGGGGGCAGGGATTTTTGCTACCGGTTCTCCGAACCACCCGCCTCCATCGCTACCGGATCAGGCGATCCGGTCTGAACAGGAAGCATTTCACCCTGGATGAAATGCTGCCTTCGTTCCCCACTTTCATGGATGAAAATATGGGATCCGGAGGGGCCCCATGGGTTGAAAAACAGGTGTAGGTAAGTTACACTTTCTATAGCTCTGGTTTATAACATAGACTGCTGGGAGATTCTACTGAATTGTGCTTTAGTCCATAAACCATCGTTTAGTGCAAAATACAAATCCAATTGTAGTGTAAGGCCAACCTGTGTGGAGTGTTCAACAAAACACTACTTCCCACCTGGGATATACCCATTATTTTCATTTGCTCCCCTCATGGACAGCGATGCCCTTTAACTCCAGTTGCTTAGTGAAACTATAACATTTAGCTATAGTTAATGCAAATCATGTTTGCGGACCCTAAGCCACAATTTCACATTCTTGGTTGTGGCCAGTTTTACTATAAATTAAAAACAAAACAAAACAGTAAAGCAGGATCAGGTTCAAGGCAATCCAAGTACAATTTTTGCTTCCCGATAGAAGAGAATATCTCAGGGTTGAACTGTGCAATGCTGATGATGTTACTTAGTTGGGTAAAAAAATGTCTGCAAGCAAACAACAAAGCTCAGAGAACACCAAGGATGCCACAGTTTCTGTTTTGCCCAGAAGAAAGCAAAGTGAACCTGTAGACTAGCATAGAATGGAAGGAACCTACATGACTCAGGGCTAGGTTATCTTCGAGACCACCTTCTACCACATAGCTCCCAGCAACCGGTAAGATCCCACAGAGTTGGTCTCCTCCAGGTCCCATAAGCTAAACAATGCCGGCTGGCGGGCCCGCGGGGGAGGGCCTTCTCTGTGGCTGCCCCAGCTCTCTGGAACCAGTTACCTCCTGAGGTCTGGACCACCCCCACCTTATTGGCCTTCCGAAAAGCGGTGAAGACCTGGCTTTTCCGGCAGGCCTGGAGCCGTTGATCTCGCTGTTGCGATTTTGTGAGATCCGGCCATGAATGGTATGAATGGGTTTTAACGTTTTAGTTTTTAAATGGTTTTATAATGGTTTTTTAAACGCATTGTAAGCTGCCCTGAGTCTTCGGAGAAAGGCAGCATATAAATTGAACTAATAAATAAATAAATAAAATGTTGACAAATCTATTGCAGTACTGCCGTTTTAATATGAAATATGCCTTAGTCTGCATACAGATTTCATTGCTACCATATCCTGCCATTTATATAGTTTTGTTGTCTGTTTCAGTGCCTGACGACATATTTGCTATTTATTGACCTGGAGTCTACTGGGTCATACGTAGTATATTCATATTTAAGATTTTTTAAAATGAGAATAGAGGATCTACTGTATTATTTTGAACATTCTACCCTCCTCAGTTGATGAATCCAGGTGACTTCCAGGTGACTCTCTTTTCAGTTGGACTGCAAACAACCTTGCTAAATCCAGGTCAGCCACTTCAACAAGGATCTGACTCAGGAAATTCAAGATAGGAGGGGCTTCATGCAGCGAAGTAGCAAGGAGATGACAAGCAGCATGCCAGGAGAAGGAGAAAAAGGGAGTGATAGAATCCAAGAGATCATAGATAAAGGTCATATTAGAGTCTCCTTAGCAAGGGTTGGCAAAACCTTATTTCCTCTTCCAGCAGTGCTTCAGAGGGTCACCTAGTGAAGTTCTCCTGACTCGTTTAACAGTTTATCAAATCTGAGCATGCACAAGTTAACAAATTGATGTAAATAAGTTTCTACATTGATAAAATCACCTCTACATATGCTCATATGAAGTGTCCATCTGCTGCTACAATCCTGGCACCGTTCTCAACCAGTTTAAATGTTCTCATGATTTGATTGCTTATTCGCTCCCTATGACTATCATGAAGTGTTGTACCTTATGATTCTTGACGAATGTGTCTTGTCTTTTATGTACACTGAGAGCTTATGCACCAAGACAAATTCCTTGTGTGTCCAATCACACTTGGCCAATAAAGAATGCAATGCAATTCTATTCTATTCTATTCTATTCTATTCTATTCTATTCTATTCTATTCTATTCTATTCTATTCTATTCTATTCTATTCTGTCTGGATAGGTTTCAAGGCTTTTTGGCCTAAACATGCTTTTAGTGCCTGAATATTGAAGACACATATAGAGGAAGTCCTTGACTTACGACCACAATTGAGCCCAACATTTCCGTTGCTAAGCAAGACAATTCTTAAGTGAGTTTTGTCCCACTTTATGACCTTTCTTGCCACAGGCGTTAATCATTGCCATTAATAACACAGCTGTTAAGTGAACTTGGTTTCGTCTTTGACTTTGCTTGTCAGGTCGCAAAAGGTGATCATATGACCCTGGGACATTGTCATGCTCATAAATACATGCACCCAAATTTTGTCATGTTACCACGGGGTTGCTACAAAAGCCGTAAGTGTGAAAAACGGTCATAAATCACTTTTTTTCAGTGTTAACTTTGAACAGTCTATGATTGAAGGTCGAGGATATCTGTAGCAACCTGATGTCATTCTTTTAAAACATCCAGAATGGTTAAAGAATTGTCCATGTTTAGCTGAGTTGCTTGATTTCTGATTGTCTCAGAAGGATTTCTTATTAAATAGGAGCTTCCTATTAAGTGAGAGCTTCCTTGAGACTTAGGTAATATGCTAGATTGGGTGACATGATAGTAGTGTTCCAATAGTTGAGGGGCTGTCACCGAGAGGAGGACAACCTATTTTCCAAGGCACCTGAAGGCCAGACAAGGAACAATGGATGGAAACTGATCAAGGAGAGATTCAACCTAGAAATAAGGAGAAATTTTCTGATTGTAAGAACAATCAACCAATGGAACAGCTTGCCTTCTGAAGTTGTGGGTGCTTTATCACTGGAGACTTTCAAGAAGAGGCTGGACAGCCACTTGTCAGAAATAGTACAGGGGGTTGAACAGGGGGTTGGACTAGAAGACCTACAAGGTTCCTTCCAACTCTGTTATTGTATATTCTGTATATATTCCATTTTGCCGGAAGTGAAGTTGGGTTTCACCAGGACTGAGGTCATTTCTGTGGTAACCTTGCAGGTAGGGAATCCCCAGAAGAGACCTATACTGTCTCACTCCAGATATGGGGAGAGAAAAATCCAGCTTCCTTTTGTTGTCATTTGTACATTGAAGTTGGGTTTTGGGCCTTCTGCTATATGAGGGTTTCACCATTTTGTATGTCTTCAATGGCAACACACAACACACCTTAGCTGGGCTTGAAGAGCAAACAGAACGGCAAACCATTTCCATATTGTTGTTAAAAGAATGCCATGATTGTGTCTGGGTCGTTACCAGGCATCTGCTAGGAATCTTTAAATTAAGAATTGTGCTGTGGTTTACATTGCCTAAATAATTCGGAATAAATGCATGCCTGGTGATATCTTGTTCAGAGAACTGATGTCTTCCTCCCCACTGCCTTTAAGAATAAAAATCTGAAAGGGTTTTGGATGTCTTCTAAATAGAAATAAATATACCTATATGTTTGGGAATATTTTTGGGGAAACAATAGTGGGGGGAAAGGTTTTGGCCTGCCTTTTTTATGTTGACCCAAATATTAAAAATATACCCTGCTATCACAAGCAGAATTGTGGATTATGTTTCCAGGATGAGCATGCTGGGAGTGCTAAATGGCTATTTATCCTTGCATTTTAGGGACAGGTTACTTTAGTACATAGAGAAACCACACGGCTTCTTCTAACGCAAAACTTCCTACCCCATTTGTAATACTGCCCAAGTAGCTGAATGCTTTGACTTCTCCAATGTTGCTAATCAAGAGGAATAAGGTACACAATGTTCTTGATCAAGAGTTTTGGGGTTAGGGTGCCTGCTCTGAAGGAATGTCATTTCCATCAATCAACGGACACAGGTCAGCTTATCTCACAAGGGTGTTTTAC